CGGGGCCGCGGGGCGGGGAGGCCTGGGGCGACGCTTCCGCTCTCTCCGAGGCCTGAGTTCTGACGTCCACCTGTGAGCCCCAGCTGTGTCCCTTCCTCTCCCCCTCTCTCGCGTTGGCCGTAGAGTCAGCGGGCGTCAGGATGAGCTGGTCACCGTCCCTGCCGACGCAGACATGTGGGGCCTGGGAAATGAAAGAACGCCTAGGGACAGGGGGATTCGGAAACGTCATCCGCTGGCACAACCAGGTAGGGGCTCCCCTAGCTGTGGCCCTGTGGGGTCGGGGAGGGGCCTCAGGCTTGCGGAGCTGACCTAAGCTTTTGGAAGTACGGCGCCGAAATAGTAAAACAAAAACAAAAACAAAAAACCAACAAAACTCTCAGTCCCTATTGGACATTTTAGATCGTAGGATTTTGCTTACATCAGAAGATCGTGCATGCATACGTTGTAACCGATGTGTTACAAAGCCTAGAAAATAGAGAAACCTAAGAGGATGAGAATAATGAAGTATCTTACCCAACACTTTTAAACTTATTATTTAAAATATTTTAAATAGCTGCTAATTACAGTCCCCCTCAGTGTTGTTTATATTACTGTTCTGCGGAAAAATACATAGATCCTCATGAAAGTGAGAATGATCAATTTTTAAAGATAATGGATGGCTGTTTGTACACACCTGTAATTCCAGTCATTCACAAGGCTGAGGCAGGAGGATCCCAAGCAGCCCAGTCTAGGCAATTTAGGGAGATCTTGTTTCAAAAAACAAAAAAGACTGGGGATATAGCTTAGCGGGAAAGCCCTGGGTTCAATCCCCAGTACTGTACTGTACTGTACTGAGTGTGTGTAAAAATTCACAGTGTAGGTAATTTTTATGATTTTTTTTTTAATGCTTTAGAATGAATGCTTTTTGGACCTAAATAGAACCTTCCTGTGTTGGGTCCTTCCGTGTCTGATAAGACTTTCTCACATTAGAGTTCTGAGTTCTCCCATATTTGGTTTGCGCAGGTGTTAAGAGGGTCTGAAACTCTCTTCAGAAATCTCTTTAAGGCACTGGTTCATTGTATGAGTTATTTTACCGAAATTGCATGATCCAATCTATAATCCCATGTATGTAGGCATGTAACCTGCAGCAACTCCATGGGCCATGTCCACCTCCTGTTTGTGGGATGCCTCTGGGTACCTCCAGTACCAGGGGTGGCGTATGGCCCGTGATGAAAGGTTGGGGAGGGTGCTGCATGGAAGCTTACTTTTATTTATTATTTTGGAGTGCAGCCTTCTGTACTACCTGGAGAACACATACCCAATTTGGAGACTATTGCTCTAGAGACCCCCTTACTCATCAAACAGCTAAAATTAAATTCCTGCAGTAAAATTCAAATCCACCAATTCAAGTCCTTGAAGGAAGCACTGGTTTTAGTCAAGGACTGTTAAGCATCTTCGTGGCCAGAAGGGCTGGCAGACTCCTGTCCACTGCCTGGATGAAGCAGAGAGGGCAACACAGAGGGCCATTCCAGTCACCTCCTGTGTCCCTTAGTTGGAAGGCACCTTGGTCTGTACCTCAAGCACATGCATGAATCCCTGGAGGAATGTGGGGACTGGAGCTGGCTGGTAGCATATGGCTCCAAGGGTAGTAACACTCACACACCCAACTTGAAAACTAGGATTTCAGCACATCCTGTGAGTGAGAAGGCTTTAAGGAATATAACTGCTCAAGGCTGTCCTGGTCATAGTGTTAGCTAGGGGTCTACCGATAGGACAGTAGGACCATCTTAGTCATTGGCCTCACGTAAGCCTGGGAGGGACTACTTCCAGACAGCCTAGTGCTTCTGAAAGTCAGCTTAGCCAGAGACATTCTGGTTTCCTTCAAACAGATTGTGTCCACACATGCCCTTTGCCTCTCATCTCTAGCTGAGAGTGGCCTCCGTCTGTTCTCTGGGCTTGGAAGGTGATTGCCAGATGGGATTTATGTTTGGCTTTATATATAGGGACATGTATGTACGTGTGTGGCTTAGTCCCCAGAATTACTGCTCTCCAGTTTTTTTGTCCTTTTCTAAAGCTTTAATTTGTTCTTTTAAAAAGCCAAAGCCAGACTCCTATCATTTGAGGCCCATCCACATCCTGCCTCTCTCCAGTGTTACCTTTCTTTTTTCTTTTTTTTTTTTTGGTACCAGGGATTGAACTTGGACCTTGTGCTTTCGAGGCAGATGGCAGCACCACTGAGCTAAATCCCCAGCCCCACCGTTACCATTCTTGTTGGTTCTGGCAATTGAGTCCTAGCATGGACAGGACCTCAATGTGTTATGTAAATTCTGCCCACCCCTCCAGGACCTGGGCCACTTCCTCCCAAGCCCTCCATAGACTATTTATTCCTTGGGAATTCAGTTTTCTCTTGAATTGCCTTTCTCTTGGCCACCTTCTTGTTGGCTATGTGGCTATGTGTAGGAGTGTCCCATCAGGTCTCTTGGTTCCTGTGAGCCCGGGCTGCATTGGGCTTTGGATTTCTTTGATTCCCCTATAGCAGAGATGATATATATATATATATATATA